CAAAAGAAGGCAACAGGAAAGAAGAAAGGAGAAACAGATCCCAAGTAGGTCCAAAACACAGCAAGATAAACAATTTTAAATCTTGAGGCAGGAGAAAAATCTTCTGTGATGCTATACCCCACCTTCTAGACACTAGGGTGAGACATGGGTCCTCAAGACTCCAGGGGATCCCATCCCCATGGCTTTGCTGGGTATAGCAAATGTAGCAGCTCTCTCAGGTTGGTGTCTAGTCCCTGGGCTCTCCCAGACTGGAGTTGTACATTTGTGGTTTTATAAGTCTGAGATCTTGGGGAAGTCTTCCCCCAAAACTCCACTAAGCACTTCCCTAGTGGAGACTCTCTGCTGAAGGCCTACCCTTATGTTTGTTCTCTGCCTGGACCCCAAGGCTCTCCTAGGCAGCCTTCAACATCTAGTTAAAGGTAGCTCCACAGCTGTTGCATTCTGCGTGCCTGCAAAGTTACGACCACGTGGATACTGCCAGGGTTTATTGTCATGTGTGTCCTCCAGCACAGCAGCCTGAGGCAACTTGGATTCACTTGAGCCACAACTGGGCAGCCAAGGAGTGCTATTTCAGAATGTGGGGAGCAGAGACTTGAGGTGGTGCTGGGTAGCATGCCTAAAGGTCCCGTGGGAGCCTTAGGGAACTCTCTTTAAATCATTCTGCCCTCAATGCCTTGCTACTCTGGGCCTGTGGTGAAAGTGGTAGGCTCAAAGATTTCCTGTATGCCTTCTGAGATATTGTTCTGATGAATAGCGTCTGGCTGCCTTCTATTCATACTAATTTTATCAAATGTTTCTGTGGCCACAGCATTGGTGTTCTCTACCAAACTTGCCATTTCATTCTTTACATGACCAGACTAAGAATTTTGCAAATCTTTAAGTTCTGCTTCCTCTTAGATGATAAACTCTCTCTTTCTTTCTCTTCTTGCATTTTACTATAAATAGTCAAAAGAAGCCACACAGAACCCTCAACACTCTGCCAAATATCCTAGTTCATTTTTTACATTTTCTGCCTTCTACAAAACATTAGAACATAGACACAATTCAGCCAAGTTATTTGGCACTTTATAACAAGGAGGACCATTACTCCAGTTTCTAATACCTTCTCCTTATTTCCATCTAGGCCTCATCCATATTTCTATCAGCATCCTGATCATGACCACTTAAGTAATTTCTAAGATGATTTAAACTCTCCCTACAGCTCTCCTCTTCTCCTGAGTTCTCACTGTAATTTCCCTTAATGCTTTGCTCATGGCAATAAAGTTTCTTTTAGCATTCACTTTGAAACTGTTCTCACCTCTACCCATTACCTAGTTCTAAAGCTGCTTCCACATTTTTAGATACTTGTTACAGCAACACCAATATTAATTCAGCACCGATTTCTGCCTAACAAAATGCCTTAATAACAAAATACCTAGACTGTATAATTTATAAACAACAACAATTTATTTCTCACAGTTCTGGAGACTGTAAAGTCCAAGATTAAGGAACCAGCAGGTTTTCCCAGTCTTTGTTTCCATGATGGCACCTAGAACGCTGTGTCCTCACATGACAGAAGAGAAAAAAGGGAAAAAGGAAGGCTAGCTAATTCCTTACAGTTCTTTTAAAAGGCACCTATTTCTTTACAATGGCGTAGCTCTCATGGCCTAATCATCTATCAAAGCCTGCATCTCTTAACATTGCTGCACTGAGGATTAAATTTCAATATGAGTTTTGAAGAGGACACAAATATTCAAACTATAGAACCAGCATTGTGTAGGAATAAAGGAAATTACAACCTTGTAAAGAGACATAGAAGAATAATTATAGGAATGTGTGTGCCCCAAGATTAAACATTGAAAGTGCTATAGAAATAAGAACAATGTTCAGGAGTTGAGAAAAGGAAGAAATTACAATTAATTGGTAGCATCCAAAAACCCTTCAATTAATCATGGTGACTCAGCCTGTAATCCCAGCACTTTGGTAGGCCGAGGCGGGAGGATTGCCTGAGCCCAGGGGTCGGAGACCAGCCTGGGCAGCTTGGTGAGTCCTTGCCTCTACAATAAATCACAAAAACTAGCTGGGCATGGTGGCATGTATCTGTAGGTCCAGCTACTTGGGAGGCTGAGACAGAAGGATCGCCTAAACTCAGCAGGCCGAGGCTGCAGTCGCTATGAGCATGCCACTGCACTCCAGCCTGGGCAACAAGAGTGAGACTTCAATTCAAATAAATAAATAATAAAGCATTCGTTGCTTTCAACAAGCACAGAGAAGGACGCAGGAAAAGGAAGATAGGCAGGAGAAAGCCTGAAAGCCTGATATCTCTGGGAGAAACTATGATACCGGAGGTACTTGGAGAACTCTTTTTTTTTTTCTTTTCAGACTGGAGATTTTTATTTCTTTGACTGGTCCACGGGGGGGGGACAGGGGGGCACATTCCCTGGAGAACTCTTGTGCTCCTCGGTTTTCATGTGGCCCCTTTATATTTTGAACCATTCCACAGTGCATTTGAAGTATAATTTCCATCTTCATTGTTTACTCAAACACAAACTCTCCCAGGCTGTGTGTGAGTTTGTGAGAGAGTCTGTGTTTATGCAGGACTATAAAAGACTGTGTTTATGCAGGATTATAAGGACTGAGTTCCCAAGGCTGTAGGGTTAATTACCCTATCAAAGGGACTGCTCTGTTGTCCTTTGGCTTTTGGATACTTGGCAACCCCCTGCCTAGCCTTGCCCTGGGGTGCTGAGAAGAGGCTTGGTGGTATGATCATTTTTTTCCCTGTTGGGGCAGCTGGATCTTCCAAAAGTTTCTTTTAATTGATGAGCTCTGACCAACATTCAGGGATGGGACTTGCCTCCTCAGATACTGTCTGCTTTCCCAAAAACATGTTTGGTGAGGGCAAAGGACCTGTAGAGAAATGGTTTTTAAGAACATGATAGGTGACCAGAGGATATATTTTGGGGGTATAAACATTTTATCATTGGGTGTGAGGTCTACTTGGGGGGAGATAAAAGTGTTTTAGAACTAAATGGAAAAGATGGATGGGCCACACAGAGGATGAACTAAATGCCACTGAATTTTACACTCTCAAAATGTTAGATTATGTGACTCTCACCTCAATAAAAAAACAAAAAAAACACAAAACTTTATCATCATTATAAATACAAAATTCAGGAAAATAGTTACCTTTGGGAAAGCGGCAAGGAGTCAGGACTGGTGAGGAGCACAAGAGTGTATGTAAATTGTTAAAGGTCTAGTTCTGTTGTGTTCAATGTGTATTAGCATCACCTGGAAATTCATTAGAAAATAAAATTATTGATCCTCAACTCAGATCTATTAAATGAGAGACTCTGTAGGTGGGGCCCAGCAGTCTGAGTCTTAACAAGTTTTCCAGGTGATTCTGATGCATGCTAGAATTTTAAAACTATTGATCTAGTTTTTGAGTTGTCAGGTATGTTTCTCTGTGTTAGTTTTATTATTAAATATAACACCATACTAAACAAATAAATAAATAGGAAGGATTATGCTAGGAGAAAAGGTGATTGTGTGTCCAGACTCAAGGATAATATTTTAATTTAATCCTATGCACTTGGGACTTATTTTACAAAGAAAAAGAGACTTCTGAACAACACATTGATCTTAGTATATCAACACCCACCCCCAACAAAGAACAATGGAGATTCAAAACATACATCTTATCAAAATAAAAATGTTTTAAAGTCCGGGAATACAAGACAAGAATAGTTGTAATTAGAAATTGTTGTTTGTCCCTGAACATCAGGAAGAAAACCAGTCTTTCTTTTTGGTTCACAGCATAAACCTTTGCACCAAGTTTTTTGCAAGGTTCTGCCTTCATGCTGACTCTGGCATCTGCTCTACCTTGCAGCTTGTTGTGCCTGCTTTGTGGGCTTCCAATCTGTGCAGAGCAAGGAGAGCCATGGGAGATGTCATCTCTCTGAATGAAAAGAGATGGGTGACTTCAGTAGAGATGTTACAGCCCTTTTACTCCCAGCAGGCACTGTAGATGGCTGCTGGGTTTGGACCATAGAGGACTGGCCTGTCTCCAATATTTGCTTGGATCTTAGTGAGAATGGACCATGTGCCTTGAGTAATTGCCTCCTCAGCACAGGAGCCTGGTTGCTATTGTTGTCCTGCTATTTTCTCTGAACAGGCCATGTTATTTTCTCCTGTGAATATTAATTTACCCTGAGTTAGAATAATTGGACGGAGAGTAGCCATCTGCAGAGCTGTGCCATGTTGGCAGGACTTTTCAGCAGGCCAGACCAGAGGACCATTCTTGGAGCGGTTTCTTTTTTCCTCTCAATAAGAATCCATTCTTTCCCAGGGTTTGTTCCTAAACCCCATAGCCATGAAGTAACAGAACTGGAACTCAAACACAGTATATGTGCATTTCAAATCTGGAGTACTTCCTCTGACCTTTGATCCCTTTAAGTAACTTGCATATGGAAAGAATCAATGCATAACTACTCAATGCATGGATTTGTAAATATGAAGGAAAGAAATCAGCACTCAGATAAAAAATGAGATTAAATTTCAAAATAATGAGAGCTTTGAGCAATAATAATTATTCAGATCCAGAAAAAATGCCTTTGACAATTGTGTTATTGTTGGACTGAATTCATAAACTGTTTTTTAAAAGGTAGAATAAATAGAACATGGATGTAATCCACATTGATAACTTCTCTGTTTTTAGTTGAAAACACTTATTAGGTGTGTACCATATGCAAACCACAGTGACCAAATACAGACTCAGTATCTGCTCTCATGGAGAATGGCAGCCAGTGGGAAAGATTGTTGTAATTGCCCACTTATTGTCTAAACACCATGAAATGGGAACAACTCAGGATGCCATGGGATTAGAGGCTCAAAGCCAGCCAGGGATATTCTCTAAAAGGTTATTACAAGCCTATTGTGATTGTTGTTAGAAGGGCTAATACTTTCCAGCTTATGCCATGATCTGTATCCCCATCTGATCTCTTTGTGTTTTCCCCACGATCTAGGTAACAACTGGTGGAAGAGCCAGCTACTACGTTTCTTATCGAAGAGAGGCCTTTGCTCAGATAAAGCTGCCCAAATACTCCTTGCCAAAGGTACTGCATGCTCCACCAGCTATCCTGGGTCCTGCCAGACAAAGGGAAGGTTGGAGATGCTGTCTTGCTGGGCTGCTGGGAGGTTTGAACTCTGGCTGGGAGGACTGCTGGCATTCAGCCTGACTTAACACTGAGTGGTTTGGCCTCTGCTGATGTTGCTGAACCTGGATTCTTCTTTTTTTTTTTTTTTGAGTTGGAGTCTCACTCTGTTGCCCAGACTGGAGTGCAGTGGCCGTTCCCGGCCACCGCAGCCTCGACCTGCTGGGCTCCGACGATCCTTCCGCCTCAGCCTTCTGAGTAGCCGGAATTACAGGCATGCGCTTCCACGCCCGGCTGATTTTTTGATTTATTGTAGAGAGGAGGTCTCGCTGCCCAGGCGGGTCTTGAACCCACGGGCTCAGGCAATCCACTCACCTCAGCCTCTCAAAGGCACGGGATTACAGGCTGAGCCACTGAGCCCGGTTTCCCTCTCAGCAGGGTACCAGGGAAGAGATTTGATTTCCTGTGACTCAAACATCTGGTATACCCTTGGGTCATCTCCCAGGGACAATAGTAAAAGGAGCACTAGCTTTGGAATTTCCTCTGAGAGTCCCTCCCTTTTGCAAAGACCTTATTGCATATAGAAGGCCAAGCTCACGCAGAAGCACAGATGCTATATGAGTGTGGGCATAAAAGTGCATGGATAGGTCTGGTGGTTTTCTTGATTTTTCTCTGCGTTTAAGGTTAAATATAAATGTACTGCCTGCCTATGTTTCTACTCCCCCTACTACTATGAGTAATTAAAAAGGGATAATTTAACAAAACGTTAGTATCAAGTGATGACATTTGAACTCTATTGGAAAATCATAAAACTCCTTTGGTGGATCATTCCCGGTGAACATTGGCTTCTGGAGGAACATGGACCTTAGAACCTCAGTGTGAATATGGTAAGAAATCATTGCATCATTTAATGAGGCTTCAGAGAAACAAAATCTCAGGTTGGGCATATATTGAGTGTAAAGTGAAGATTTGGGTCTCTAAGCTATGCTGAGAAACATTGTGTAAGAGAGATTTGGGGAACAAGAAAGTTGGCAATTTTCTACTGCTGGATTGTTTTTATTCATTCAATTATTTATAAATGCATGTATTAATGCATACATGTGTCCATTCACTCATTCGTGTTTTCTTTTATGCATCCATTCAACTATTTTTTCTTCCACTTAGGTCTTTACTCTCTTTGTCAGGCACATAACTAAACTGTGTGGAGAGAATAGTGAATAAGACACAAATGGTCCCTAGCTTCATGGGTCTTATATTCTGGGAGAAAAGCTAGACACTTAACAAGTCGATGTGGGAGTGTTACAGAAGTTCATGGGCCATCTTGTCATAAAAGGTTGATTTAATCAAATATGGGTGGTGAGGGCAGTTTCCTAGAGAAAGTAATGTTTAAGTTGATACAGAAGTACAAAGGAGTTAACCCTGCAAACAAAGAAAAGGAGAAGATGATAGAAAATACATGCACAGGTCCTCTTTTAAGAGAGAGCCTTGTTCATTCAGCAAACTAAACAACCATCTTCAAAGACTGGATAGCAGAGAGAGAAGTAGAGAGGCTGATAAGGTAAGCAGAGACCATATTAATAGCTTCAGGGCTATGGGAACCAGTTACTTCATTTTCTTTATCCTGTTTGTAGCTTTTATGGAATCCTTGTGTAGTATTGTTGCAAGATGTACCCATCAGATAGTCTAAACCCAAGCAGGAAACAGCTTGGAGATTAGAAAGGAGAAATTCACAATTATGCACTTTCTAAAGGAGAATGTCCCATTGCAGTAACTTGTAAATCTACATGTCTCTAAGACTAGGAAATGAGTTTAGGGAACTTTCCAAAACATGTCTCCCCAATGTAGGAATTATTTTGTCTTTGTATGTATGTGTGCATATCTTACATATTTTCTCAGGAAAACAAACCATTTGCTACCCTGGGCAGTGTGACTGTTGGTAGGGACAAATGAGGCCCCGAATTGATCTCAACCCTAGAACACTTCATTAATGATTAGCAACCCCATGGCAATATATTGTGGTGAAGTATCATTCATGCAGACCCTTGGGTAGAACCTCATCTCCAGCAACTTCTCATTAATATAAGAGCTGCTGTGAAAATAGTTGGATGGTTATTGATCCCCTTTATTAACCAGCATTGGCCCAGGTTTTCATAGTCAAGGCTAAGGAGGTGGAGAAAGAGGGAGTGAAGAGAAATTAATTGGTTCGTTCTATTGTTTAAAAATGGAAATGGCTTTTAAGCAAGTTGTTGCTGTTCTATGCAGTGCTGTGGCTGTTTCTAGGCTGCTTGCTTGGAAATGAAAGCAAGGAAAAAGCTCCCTGTCATCATTGCCCTTGCACCTCTGCCTCCAGCTTGTATGTTCAGAGTGTGTTCTCCTGGGGCACTCCATGGTTTTGGACTGTTTTGCAGAGAATGAAATGAGCACCATTAATAAAGAGCTGCATTATTAGGAGCAGCAGCTTTGTGCGGATCCTTCCACAACTCAGTCTCTGGGCATCAGGTGTACATTTTCAGTTCATAGGCAGAAGTGCACACCAGCAGAGGGCATGGGGGCAGCTGGTAGGCAGTGGGTAGCCTAGAGGAAGGGCAGATGAGTTTATGAGCAGAAAGTCTGAACGTTCATTCCAACTCTGCCACTTATCCATGAGACCAAGTCTTCTCATGTGTGAAATGGCATAATGATACTATTTGACAAAGTTGTAAGGATTCAGTGAGTGACTCATTGTTGATCAAGTGTAAAGTGTTGGACAAATCTGAGGAATTATTTTGATGGGGGGTGGCAGGTAAGTAATACCAAGGCTCTTAACCTATCTGACTTGGAGATCAGTGTTCATGATGGGATCACATCCCAACCTGACCTTGGACTCAATAGTGCGTAAGACCCTCCACTTTGCCACTCTGAATCTGATATACCTTTTTTGTCACTTAGATTCTATATTTAGCCTTAACTTATTACTCTAATAAATAATTTCTGTAAGAAAAGCATTTGCGGGTTTTGTTTCTGAATGGTATCCATGTTGGTAGTGAAAATGTTGATCGTTGCTTGAGTCCTGTGCTCTTGAAAAATAACCAGGATTAAGAAATTTCCCACTTTTTTGTTTAGGAAATAGCTTATTGCAAAGACATTCCTCCCCACCCCCACCCTGTCACATAAATTGATGACTCAGATGTCTGTGTTGTTTACCTATAACAAGACCAAGTTCCCGTCTCATATATGATTAGCTGAACTGTTGTCTTCTGACCAATCTGGACAAAAAGCCTGCTAATTGGTTTGATCAAACTTAAAACCAGCTTTTCTTCTTTCTTGGGCCTCTGAACTTTGACTCATTGGGAACCATTGGGAGCTTAAGCAAGCTTTGAAGTGAGTAACAGCCCCCACTTAACAGCCCTTCTGAGAATCAGCTGACCTAGAGGAAATAATTTCTTGTTCAATTGCTTGAACGTGCCACCTGCTCACCATTACTTTCCACACCCAGTTCTTTCTAATTTTACTTTTCTCTATAAAAGTAATTCTTTTCTGCCTTCACTCAGAAGCACCATTAATGAAGAGCTGCATTGCAGGTGTTATGGTCAGGGTGTTCTTGCAAGTCTTTTCAAATAAAGTCTCTCCTTACCTAAATCTGGGTTCATTTTTTCTTTAACAGTAGAATATGGTTAATCTCATTTTGAATAATAAAAGAGAGGAGAGGGGAATATGTTTTAGAAAATTCATTATAATGATAATGGAAATGAAATTAATCTTTTATTTCCTTAGTTTCTGCATCTCCCCAAATATTGATTTATCCTCTGTTGTGTTACAACCACACTTCATAAATAGTTATCTATCATTCTAATCTCTTTTCTCACTTCCTATTCTCTCTTCAACTCACTGCTAGCTGTTTTCTGTCTTCAAATCCATCTATCCACTATTTCACTAACAATTTTCTAGTGATTGCTATAGTGACCACCTACATGCTAAATCCAATAGACATTTCTATCTTTTTTCACCACTCCGGAGCATTTGACGCTCATGAAAGATAGTCCATACTTGATATTCTTCCTTTTGATGGTATTTTATTCTGATTTTCTTTTCAGATTACCTTTCTTTTGCCACTCTTTAAATATTAGTATTCTTAAGCTTTTGAATTTTATATGTTCTTGGGTGACATTATACCTTTTTAAAATATCACTGACTCCTGTATCACAACCTCAGCCCATAGCTTTTCATACTAGACCACATGTCCAATTGCCTATCTGAAGTTCATCTTCTTAGAGCTCTCATCGAACCAGTGTGAAACTGAGCTCCTAATCATAACTTATATCCCTTATATCTCATCCTTCTCCTATATTTTCTCACATGATCCATTTATTTATTCAATAAATAAATTGTTGAATGTCTATAATGTTTCAGATACTCTGATAAGTATTCGAGATAAGATAATAAATAAGAGGGACATGGTGCCTGTTGCTCTTTAAGATCTTAGAGCCTGATGAGAGAGACAGACATCAAACAAATAATTACACAAGTGATTATTATGGTGTAATAAGTGCTGTAAAGGAAAAGAGTCTTATAAGTCAAATATCTGAGACATTGAACGTATGCCCTTCTTTCTTCTCCTTCTAACAATTTTACCAGTCCACCAGTATCTCATAGAGAAACTACTTCCTTAGTTCAAGCCCTCATGTGTTATTATCTGAATTGTTACAGTGACCTTTTGCATCATTCTCCCTGACACTAGCATTTCCCCACTTAAATCTCCTCTTTACCATGTTTCTATAATGATTAATATCATGCAAGAAACAGGATCTTCTCCAACCAAATCTCTGTGTTGATATAGTCTGTTCATTCATTTCTCCTGCTTAAAATTATGTGATAGCTTTGTGCTATGTTTTGGGTAAAAGTTAAGTGTGCCATAAAGAACCCCTTATAATGTAGCCACTCCTGTCTTCACCTCCTTTGGAGAGAAACTGCTTTCGAGCTGTATGGAGTGCCACATATTTTCTTGACTGTTCCATCCTCTCACCTATAAGCCTTTGTACTCCAACCACCATTTTAAGTACCTTTATTGTGACATTTAGATTAAAGCTTGAGAAAAGCCACAGGAATATGTCTTGTCTTTACCATCAGGAGAGTATTTTCTTGAGGTAAGTTCTACATCTTCTTTTTCTCTGTATTGCAATCATTGTGTCTGGCACTTGGCAGATGCTTAGCAATATAGGTGTTTGTATAATGAATAAAATTACATTAGGCCTAGATTATAAGAAAATGCTTCAGTAACAAGTGAAGTATGTTCACCGTTGTTCACTTAGAAAATCACAGGTTATGGTTTTCAAAAAGCAGTCACGATTCTCCCAGATTATTATGTTGAGAAGGCAGAGAGGAAGTGTTATTTATAATTGCTTTCCAAATAAAAATATTTATTTGGTTATATCTAATGCTCTTCAAATTCCAAAGTCCCAGTATGAATGTACTCGCGTGTGTGTGTTATATGTATGTACTCCTATTGCATTTTCCTGTTGATTTCTCTCTTTTGATTTCTCAGGACCAGCAAATTTCTCATGCTTGGGCATTAGAATGAGGTTTAGATTCAAGAAATAAGTTTCATGATTATTCAGGTCCATATGGAACTAATTTTAACTAATTATGCTTTTCTTTTTTCTCCAAAACTTAATATTCTGGTTATTCTTGGTTGACCCCAACTCAACCATAAGACTTACTTGGAGAGATGGCATATAGTTCAGAGTGCTTCAAAGAGTTATTACCCAGACTTAGACACACAAGAATCATCTGGGGGACTTGTTTAGATAGTAGAATCTAGGACTGTACACCAAGCATACTGAATCATATTCCTAGTCATTGGGACCCGCAAGTCTTCATGCCATTAAAGATCTCCAGGTATTCTGGTTGCACACCAATGTTATATCCCCACCATTAGTTGTTTTAAAAGTTAGTGTCTTCATTAAGATTGGGTTTAAATTAAGTGCTAGGTTTAAATCTTAGTAATGTCACTTATTAACTGAGTGACTTTGGCAAATTAAGGACTTCTCCAGCAGACAACCCAGTCACCTAGATACTAGAGAGCAGTTGTTTACTGCAGAGTCTGGAGTACCTGTTTACCAGATGACACTGCCCCAGGATAACGTTAACCTAATGTGCACTCACAGCAAATCTGGCTGCCTTTAATCCTGACCATGCCCTAGTGTTTTAAGCTGTTCTTTTCCCTCACTTATTTTACTTTAGTTTAGTCTGAAATAACTTAGCTCATTCATTTTTATGACCAAAACATCTGGGAAAAACCTGGCAATTTTATTGCATTTTTAACAGGGTAAGTGAATTTAATTTGTATTTCCTGCAGCTGCTATTTCCCCTCCTACTGGGTTCTTGGGCATTCATTCCACACCAACACAACATGATTCTATCACAGGGTCTTCAAGTGTAAGCTTTCTTTCCATTTTCAATCAGCTCAGCAGGAACCTGCAATTCTTCAAGGTGTGTAAGCACAAATGAGCAAGTGAGGTCTTAGTCAAGGTGATCTAGAGAGTTCAAGGCCAGAGTCTGAGATTTGACAACGAATCCTGAATAAAAAGATCCAGAACTTGCTTTTTTACTTCTCCCCCCTCCAGGTTGTACAAATCAAATGGGCTTACTCCTTTATAAATCATCTTGGAGGAGCTCTATATGGCATTATAGACATTGATTGCTGTTTCTTTTAACTTGAAAGGATTTCTGGAATACATTGGTCAAATAAAATAAAGGCTAGGACCCGCCTGATTATCATTAATTTACTGTCAGCTCCTATTGCCTGTGGTCCTATTACTAGTGCTTTCCACTACAGTTACAAGGGTGCCTTTTTTTCTGCTATCTATTACTCTTTGGCTTATACACTTGTATATTTATGCATTTTAAGCTACTCCCATTTTTGGCAAATGTTTATCCATGTCAACATGCTTTCCTGACAGCGTAAGTTCCCAAGATAAGGGCTTAAATTTGTGATAATCTTTATATAGTGCCAAACCACATAGAAAAACTGTTTTTTGTAAATAATTTTGAATTGCGAACTTACTAGATTTTAGAAATGATCCAGTCCAGCATTAGAACTCAAGTGACTTCAGGGACTTCAGAAAGTTAGCATTAGTATGTAAGTGGCAGATCATAAGAACATAGGGGTAAGGAAGGCTGAAAGCCCAGTAGTGCTGACTCCCCCCAAAAGACCAGAGATTCAGATTTTCAATACAGGATATGGTTAAACATTTGTGATCCAGATTTACTTCAAGAGCCATCAGTTTGAAATCTCTAATCTAGAGGCTATATATCCAAATGGTTAGAGGCTAGCCATTAGGTTAGAGACAGACCATAGAAATTCAAAATCTGGTTCTGCCATTTGCTAGCTGTATAATCTGAAGGGATCTGTAGACCTCAGTGTGCCTTAGTTTACTCTTCAGTAAAATGAAAATAATCATACCACATCCCTACAGAATTGTTTTGATTTTTAATGCAAAATCTATTTTTAGATTATTTAGAATAGTATTCATATATTAGGTGTTTTTCTTAGTAGCCTGACCTCTTCACTGTTTAGGAAAGCAAGTTGAAATTAAAGAATGCAGCTGTCTTATAGTAGTACTCATATTATTATCTAGAACACCACATTCCAGGTTGAGTATCTTTTCCTTTTTATCAATGATTTTCAAATATAATTTTATTTTATTAGCAACAGAACCTCCTTTATATTCCTAAAATATTACACAGAATTCCAGTATATACAATAGATTCAGATATAAAAATAAAAAATGAAAGCAAATGAATCCTTGGAAGCCATGGAAAATGATATCAACCAAAGCCCCTTATATCCATCTTGCTGTCACTTAGCAAGGAAAAGAAATCATGAAGCTCATAATTTATAGCCCTGGTTCAACACAGAATTGTTTAGCATTGCCTATCACTCAAGCTTTTTCTCAACCATTTGTTAAGTAATGATGACTACTCAGTGTCTCAATGGGCAAAAAGATAATGGAGACCTGCAACCTTAAAAGCCCTTCATCTCCTTACAGGACATGCACATCATCAGCACAGATGAGAACCAAGTGTTTGCAGCCGTCCAAGAATGGAACCAGAACGACACATACAACCTCTACATCTCAGACATGCGAGGGATCTACTTCACCCTGGCCATGGAGAACGTTAAAAGCAGCAGAGGTCTGATGGGAAACATCATTATTGAATTGTATGAGGTATGCAACCAAAATTGTTCTTCCTCTGGGTATGCCCCACTTTTTCTTATGAGTTGTAAGGTATAAACACAAGCATTGGAGTTCTGGAGTCAGATCCCAGCTATACCATTCAGTAACTGTGTGAATTTGGACAAGAAACCTAACTACTCTGTGCCTCAATTGGAGATAAAATATTTACCTAATGAGATTATTATGAGGTGAGAGGTAATGTATGTAGAGCCTTTAATGTTGTGGACGACTCAATGTAGTTGACATTCTTGTATGTGTATTACAAACATCAATAATTTCTTAAGTGGCTTTGTAAACTCTGTACTTCTTATTGACCCTGGGAGGAGGGAGTTGTGTTACTTACGTGCCTTAAATTATTTGGAAAAATCATCCTTTATGAAAAAATGTTACAGGAAAAGAAAACCTAATATTCATGGCGAGAGTGTGAGTTTTCTAAAATGTCATCGGATGCCAACATCTGTGCAAGGTGACAAACTGGCCTCAACATGAGTGTCACTTATATGGAGTTTTGTTTTTTATATGTGATCACCAGTTAAAGAATAATTTATCTAGCAAATCAAGTGTCTACATGTAGTAACTAGAGGAAAAAAATAGTTTCAGTGACCCTAAATATGCGGTGCTTTTTAATAACTATAGTGACAGTTTGTGGCCTTTGGCAGTCCTGGCCATACTGAAGGAACTTGAGTGACCACCTGGTTGTGAAAGATTGATTTGAACAAAGAAGGTGTGTCTCATTATTCAACATTTACCAGTGACGGATGGTAACATCCACACAGGCTAAGGTAGTTGGAATCATTTATGGAAGAAGATAAGTTGTCTTTTCTGGGTGGTTGCCTCAGATGGCCTGAGCGAATTGTTCCCTTGTACGTTTTCCTTTCTGAGGAGAGGGAGTGGCTTTCAGAACACAGGGGTAAATTCATGGGCTTCTACTTTACAGTAGTCTCCTCTAAGCAGTACCTGACAAAGTTCCAGAATCCCAACAATAGTGTATAAATTGGTTACTCAGTTACTGAGAGTGATAAAAATATTTGAGGTTGCAGCTGTTCTGTTAGGTAGAGGGATGATAACACAAAGTCATGAGGTGAATGGAAGCATATTTCTAAAAAAGAAAGAGTAAACGTCATTGAGTAGTAAACAAAATCAGCAGAAAGACCCCTGTTTCCTAGAAGGTAACTGACAAATGCTAAAATAATTTCCTTTAACAACATGGTCCCAGTTTGGGAAATGCTTCAGATTTCTTCATGAGAAAAATCTATGAATACTGGTAGAGATAACTAAGGAGTGTAAATACATTTAAGAAGCTTACGCATAGCTCCATGCCTTTAATCATACCAGGAGGCAGAAATACACCTTCATTTATTGGGCAATAAGTCATGTTTTGTGGGAGGGTTTAGATTAATGTTTCCAGGACTGAGGTCATTCTAAGTTCCTGTTTGCACAAGTAATGCTGTAGAGATAAGACTTTTATTCATGCCCCTGTGATCAGACCCAAAGAGGGGAGGCTAGGCATTGCTGCAGATGACCCTGCACTCAATAAATTCCTCTGTCTCTGACCCTCTTGATACAGTGGGTGAGTCTACCACTGCTGGTTCTTTTTAAAGAACCTTTTCTAAGAAAGGGTGTCTGAAACTCCATGGACATTTAGAACAGTGAGACGCTGTGATATAAAGTGGAACATGAATCAAAATGAATAATGTGCCCAGATACATGTAATTTTTTTTCTTCCCGCACAAGTTGATCTTATGTTTTTAATCTTGTTGAAGAAAAAATATACACGGTGTCATTGCATCTATAGAGAAGCAAAATGTACCAAGCTGGGCAACTTTTTAAAAACCAGCTCTGTTGAGCTTGTTTTCTATTCAGTTTTACCAGGGTTGATGGTGCCCCTACTTTGTGTTCAAGCCTATAAGAAAGGCAGAGGAGATGTGATGTGATTCTTACCTTCAAAAAACTTGAAGTCTGGTTTGTTAGACTTTGAGGGGGGTCAATAAACAAAATTCGTCTTTCACCTGTCCAGTGCTGGAACTGATCGAGACAGAGACAAGGGTGAGACAAATGGAGCTCAAACATAGCTTTACTGATTTTAAAAATTATGTAGGAGGAAGTGGAATTGGTAATGCTGTACCCCAGAATTGAATTCATCTATCCATTTACAGACATAAATGGCAAGTGAAAGGTTCTTTCTTAGAAGCCTGTTCCTACAACACTACACACTGAGGTATAGAGGATGTGATCTTTGCAGGCATATTTCTAAAAGAGGAGAGGGAAGATGGGGATGAACCAAACATATCAGGTTCCTTTTTTTCACAGTTGCCACTCTGATTATCTGTCCTTTTGTCCTGGGAAAGAAAGAGTAAAGAAGTGGAAGGCATTCCAGATGTTAAGAATGAAATGAGCCAAGGATTGAACAAGCAGGTGGTGCAGATTTGTGAGAAAGTGAACTAGCCAGGCAAATTGTGTAGAATAGATGCTCATCAGAAACAAGAATGAGGGCTGTATAAGTAGTTGGATTTCGGATTCTAGAAAGCATGTTATACCGAGTGAATAAATTGGAATCTGACATTACTTAGACCATGACCATACTGAAGATTCTTAGAGGGCAATGCTGTTTTGCACCTAGAGATACATTCTGTGGTTTGGAGATAAAGTTCAATTTAATTGATCTCTGGGGGTTATTCGAATTTAACCTTCTTTACTGGAGATTCTTGTAGAAACTGAGATTGTGTACCAACCATATGGCTAGTTAGCAAAGAGACTACAATTTTTCTGGATCCAGATACCCTTGAGTAATGCAGCTGGGAAAACCAGTAAGTTTTCGTGTTTCAGTTAAACAAAATTAACACATTTTTTTAATGGAATGCATTTTGTTTGACGGTATAAAGACTGGTGCATGAATTTCATAATCTACTGGAAGGATCTAAGTGACCCTATTAGCACAGTAATCACTGTCTTATATGAGGTGATAGTACCACCAAGTTGTGGAGTCACAAAAAGGGAAAATTAAGTCTAACTTGAGGAATTTGGGGAGACTTTTAGATGAGTTGGCTTAAATGATACATTACTGAAAATAAGAAGAGAACCAGAGCCAGATGAGTAGAGGTCTTTTTTTTATTGATTGTTGATTGGCCTTGTGGAGTAGTGCAGATGAAGCTTATAAAGATACTGGGGTACTGTGGGGTAGTATTTCTCTATCTTTTCTCCCTCATGTTTACATACCCAGCAAAAAAATTTGCATGTGTGATGTAGTCCCCGTGCCAGGTTAATTTGTAACTTTATATTATGAAAGAACATTACACCTGTTTCCCCTTGACTGAAAGGTTCGCGATGCCTTTAGGTAATTTTCAGGTATCAGGTGGTTTGGGTTGACCGTGGCCACTTAAAGCTGGTAGTTTATCACTCCATTTTTTGCATGGACCTCTCACACCTTTTCTTGACACTGAAGAGGAGACAAAGAAAACCATAATTTTTCTGGGAATTTACCTTGCAAGCTTTGGCACTGAGAATCCTTGGAGACCTATGGAGATCAACCTTACTAAACTCCCAAAAATCTAACAAAGCTGGGACAATGTCCGTCTCAGACCTGTTGCAGCAGTCTCCCTTAGAAAAGTAGTTATCTTGCTTTTTCTTTCTCACATTCCTGAGAAATTTGAGAAGTTAAAATTCTCATATTAGGGGAGAAAATGACATTTTAAGGTCAAATAATAATCTATTCTTGAAGTTATCAAAAGTTCACTCCTTTAAAAAAAAAGTGAAAGTTGTCCATTGTGTGTGCTTACTTTTATTCTTATAGCACTCTTTTCATTAGAGCTCCATTGTGGTTTCTTTACATCCCTAACTACAAACTACATTTCTTGTAATTACTCTTCACTGATAAATCAAGAAACAAATATTCTTTCCAACACCACAATTATAGGATGGAAATATTCTTTGAGCTGTTGGCTTGATCCATTTTCTTCAATGCTTTCCTGGATATTTAGTATCCAACTTATAACTCCTGATAAAGCAACAGCATACTCGGCAGTACCTTAGACAAAAACATACACACACATACACACACACACACACACACACACACACACACACACACACGATCTGACAATTAACTTCATGATAGAGAAATAAACAATTATATATCTGTGTATCCAGTCTGCCTGTCAAAGCAATTTTGAAACACTTTTTCTGGAATGACCATCAGCGCTGTCATCATATTACCCTTGGTGTCCTGAGTGTCATCAAAATGTCATTCTTTCAATATTTTCTTTTTGAGTAAAGAAAAATGTCATTGGGGCCAGATCAGATAATTTATGGAACGTGTTCCAATACAGTTATTTGTTTACTGGCTAAAATTTCCCTAATAGACAGGGTTGTGTGAGCTGGTGCATTGTCCTGATGAAAGAGCTCCTGCAGGACCATTTTTGCACACACCTTTCTCATGCCAAGGTTTTCAGTTAAGATTTTCCTGTTTCTCTATTGATGTTTTTTCGTTCTGCTATGCTTCTCACAGTCAACTGATAATTTTGACGTACAATTTGATAAATTTTTGCAATGTTTTAATCAGTTCTGCTTGTTACAGGCCATCCTGACCTTTCTTCATCAGTGACACTTTCTCTCCCCTCAGAAAAACATTTAATCAGTTTGTACACTGTCATTTTCTTCATGGCAATATTCCCATAAACTTGGACTCACATATCCCTGACTTCACTTCCCCTCTTGCCAAGTTTAAGAAGGAATTTAATGTTTGTTCGTTGTTCTACTTCAGGCAACAATCTCACAACTGCACACAAAAACATGCAACAATAATAAATGCCATTCAGCAAGACACCACCACACATTGACATGAACACAGCCATGAGACACTTATTTATCAAAGTTATGAAAACTTATTGAGTTTTTTGTGCAGTGTACAGTGCTGTCAAAGTGAGCACATTGTGGCAAGTTTGCAAACTTGTCTGTGTATGTGTGTGTGTGTGTGTGTGTGTGTGTGTGTGTGTGTGTGTGTATGTGTGTGTGTGTGATGAGCTACATATATACTTTCAAATCTTTATTACCAGATTTTTTAAAAGTTAAAAAATAAACTGATAAAATTAATTGTAATTACATACTTTATTTAAACAAAATATTTAAAATATTGTCATCTCAGTATATGCTCATTATAAAAAGTATTGAAATATCTTATATATCTTATATATCTTCCATCCTAAGTCTACAAAACCCTGAATGTATTTTCTACTTCCCACACACCTCAATTCATATGCTAAATTTTCACCAGAAATGCTTGATTGGTATTTACATTTCATGTAATTTACAGTAGAAAAAGGAATTTCACATACCCAAGTTATTCCAAATATTCTTAAAAATTTGCCAATATCCTAATTTGGCATGAGTTCTTAAATTTTAGCTTATATTGGTTAAAATTAAATGAAATTAAAAATCAGTTTTTCAGATCCACTAGTTGTATTTCAAAGAGCCATATTGGCTAGTGGCTACTATATTGGATTGTACAGATATAAATAACTGACATATTTTTTATTATTTATTTCACATAATATCTTTTTGTGGTAGGTTTAATTTCCTGTTGTCTATGAGATTATAAAGATGAAGATAATTTAGTGGCTTAGCTTATATCTTACAGCGAGTGGTGCTGTATTTGAAGGAATCTATGTCTGTTTGACAAAAATACTCAGTCTCTTCTTTCCATACATTTTTAAAATTGAGGTATAAATTATTTATAGTAAAAATTTGTTGTTTTGGTATACAACTCTATGAGTTTTGATTTGTGCATACAGTTGTATAACTACCACCACAATCAAGATATGAAGCAGTCTTTTTACCCAAAATATTTCCTCTTACACTCCTTTTTTAGTCAATCCTCCTCAACTGATCTTAGCCAAAAGGCAGAGAAGTGATTCAATTCTTCTCTACTCATAGTCACTGACAGACCCCAATCTGACTTCTCTGTCTCCTGGTTTGCCTTTTCTAGAGGGTCAGTGAATGGAATTATACAGTAGATAACATTTTCAATTTATCTGGCTTTTATTTTTTCACATAAAATAATGCATTTGAGAGTCTCCCATGTCGTTGAATACATCAATAGATGTGCTTGTTATTTCTGAGTAGTATTCCATTGTGTGGATGTGCCAAAGTTTATTATTCATTCACCAGTTGAAGAACATTTAGCTTTTTGGTTCCAGTTTTGTGTGAGTATGAATAAACTTCTTTAAACATTCCCATGAACATAAGTTTTTATTTCTCATGAGTATATCCTTAGTAGTGTGATTACTGAGTTGAATGTGAGTAAATATATATAAGCAGCCATCAAATTAATTCTAGGTGGTAGTGCCATTTTGCTTTCCCACCAGCAAGGCATGAGAATTGCAATTGCCTCATTTCTTCACCAGTACTTGCTTTGTTTGGTTGTGTGTGTGTGTTGATGTGTGTGTTTAGTCATTCAGATAAGGACCTAGTAGTACCTCATTGTGGGTTTGATCCACATTTCTCTGGTGACTGATTAAGTGGACCTAGTATACTTGGATGGATAAAATGAAACTTTCTGGGCGTCTCAGTGTTCTGGTATCTTTGCCTATTTTATTTTTGTTTTCTTGCCTTCCCTCCCCCTAGAGCCTGCTCTCCACCCTCACTTTATCATGACCTTCAATGACCCATCTTGGACCAGATGGACAGCTGTTTATACACTCCACAGGAACTTTTTTTCTTGAACTGACCTTCGTCAGCCCCTCACCACAGGTTCAACTCTAGGGGGAGCCTAAGGCAGATCACAGTAATTATTTTTCTCAGTAGAGCTCTGGATTCTCTGTCCTGAGGTCCCAGGGAGGTAACCAACAGATGACCATGCCACCTGGACTCAGTGTTCTGCCAAGGGGCCTTCTGTCAGTTTCCCTCTGCACCTCAAATTGATTCCCAGAGGGAAAGTGGGCCACATAGACTTCTGTGGGCAATATCACAAACTGGACCTTCTGGATTGCTGGGATGATCAGCAGCAGCCATACTTCTGATTTTAAACAACAGTGGGAGGAAATAGGTTTAAAGCTTATAAGATGCTGTGTACTTCCTTTGATGAAGAAGACTTAAAATGTATGCCTTACGCTATAATTTCTTTACACTGCATGTAGTGAGAGAAAGTCATGTTTCATGATACTTTTTGTGTCAGAAATATCTGTGTACATTCATGTGTATACACATATGGATATATAGGTATGAGTTTACTAGTTTGCAACATAAACGTATTTCCTACTTGGATTGCAGTCAAAAAGTTTGAAAGCTATTGGCCTAGGTACACAAAAGCAAAGTGCCCTCCAAACTTACAGTTCTTTTATACAAGACATGGAGCCAAGAAGCAATTCAGTAATAATGTAAGGACTTTGAACGATTCAAATACAAATGGGAAGTGTCCTGGTTCTTTCAGATGGGAGGGAGATTGCTGTGGCATTATGTACAATTGCAAGAGAATCACTCTTTTCTGCATCTTTTCAGTCCCCATTCTCTTGATTTTGTTCTCAGAATATGTAGGACACACAGAAAATGCCCTTCCAAGTGGTAATAGAAAATATAATAATAGAAATGACTATTCCATTTGCTAAACATGCTCACCTGGAGGAATACAAGAGGTGGTTGAGTGGCTGGTAGTTCATGCTGTGATAAATTAAGCTAGGGACAAAGTGGGGGTATGGGGGATGAATGGGATGTGGATCCAAGGTCTGAGTCTGACCTGAATTTTGTATTTCAGGAAGTGGATAACAAGACCCAGGTATATGTTGGAGGGTCACCTGGTTTAGGGGAGTGAGTTCTCTGGAATTATTACTTGGTGGTTTAGAAGAAAAGGCACTAACTCTGTGGCCAAAGAGAGCACTAAAAAGCCTTCACCAGGAAGAAACCCAGATTACATTCTATGTAAGGAAAAATTGGCAATTAGGTTGAGGGGAAACACCTTTGCAGTTGTTTTAAAGACTGAGATGATCTGGGGGCTGCATAGCCCCAAGATGAGCATTTGAGATGCCACCTTTCCTAACTTTAAGCTGTTAGGGCAGAAAGTATGCCTCTGGGGAAGGGCAAGGCTTTGGCACCACTGCTCCTCCCCTACTTTGGCTTCTCGCCTTACTTACCTTCTGTACCAGGTAGGAATCTAATCAGTTCCATTGTTGGCTGTGTATCAAATCCTCCAGGTGTTGTCCTTCCAGAAAATTCTGTTCTCCTGACATTCTTTGTCAGTTTGTTTGTTTATTGTTATTTGGGTTGGCATTCTTTATCAAGGCCAGTCAGATTACTTAAAAAAGACTTCTTATTTCACCAACTAAATTATATCATTTTAAACAAAATTAAACAAAGCTCACTTCTGTAGAACTCTTTTTCATCCCTCCCTTTAGTACTATCTCAGAATAGCAGCAAACCTCAGTTAACCATGATCCTCAAAGAATGGGGGATAAACTATTAAAACTTTGAGATATTCCAATACCCACAGAACCTGCTATGTAACCTCTTTATATATATATATATATATTTAAACTATTTGAGTTGCCTGTTGTCTTTGGAACATGCTAGAACTTCTATGAAAGTTAAGGGAATCTTTCTTTGTTGTAGAACATTGTCATTCTAAATCTCTGTTCTTCTTGCCCAGCATGCAAAATAGAAGAAATAAAAGGTTGAGTGGAATTTGTATTACCATAGAACCCTTCTGGGATAAATCTCCTTCAATCCTCTAGCTGTTTGTTTTGGTGGTGATGCTCTTTTCTCTTCAAAATATCAAAGGCATGCAAATCTCACTACATTAGGAACACTGGTAAGAGTGCTCTGTATTATCTCATGGACCCTTTGCTAGTCAACTAGGAAAAAGAAGAGGAATAGGGTTTATTCCATCAATGTTAAAATGACCATTGACTGAGATCCAAAGATGATATGTAAGTTTTCCAAAGTCACACAGTGAGCTAGTGGGAAGAGATAGATGCCAGGTCTCCAAGCTGGGTCATCTGCACGAAAACATTTACCTCATTGCTAATCATGATGCTTCAACTTCCTATATGAAGGATTATCTCTCAATGTCTTGAAAATCCATCTTCAAGCCCGTTCTGAGGAAAAGCACATATTCTCTGGGAGAGAGAACTCCTTCCATTGTCGTCAACCACTTCCACCTCAGGGGGAACATTAGTAGTAATTAAAAACAAGATTCTATGGAACAGCTTTCAGAGAAATATAAAATGGGAAAATGCAAATGGGCAAGAGAAGGGACATCTAGGGGATGGTATAGAATACAGAAATGAACTTCGTAAACTTTTAGAGACCACATGGCATACACTTCTCACCATGTTCATTCTTTTCTCATGTGTATGTCCAACATGTCATGGAGAACACTGGGACGTCTCTCAGTGCTTCTCCAAAACCACAGTCCTTTTTGCCCAACATCATTCTCCATCTCTCACCTTTTTTCCTAGGTAGCAGGTATCAAAGGGATATTCCTGGCAAACAAGAAGGTGGATGACCAGGTGAAGACATACATCACTTACAACAAAGGCAGGGACTGGCGCTTACTGCAAGCTCCGGATGTGGACCTGAGAGGAAGCCCAGTGCATTGCCTGCTGGTCAGTCACCCAGTCCCACGGAAGTTCACAAGGCAGGCTGGTTAACTGAGGATGCTATACCAAGGGATTTCTTTCATCACAGAGTCTTAGGAACTCAGCTATGTGGAGCAGTAACTTCCTACAACTACCTGGGCATTGTCTGTGGACTCAGACTATCACACCAACTGGGTGGATATCTCAGTGTAACTACACACACATTTATTGCAGATCTGCTATGTACTCCAGCTCATAGGAAGAGTTTTTAAAAAGTATAAAAGAAGGATCCTGTGCTCAAGAGTCTCAGACAGAGCTCAGTGATTTTAACACATCTGTTAACTGACATGGACAGTTATTTTGATGAGAACTTGATAGATGTAGAGGTAAGCAAAGTTTGCCTTGAAAGCTTAGGAAAGGTCAGGCTGGAATATCAGTATAGGACTGGTAATCTGTCAGCATTCCCAGGGTTCCTGCTATATGGAATATTGGGGTGGGCACTATAGATGACAATGTGGGAGATGTTATCTCTGCCTCCAGATGTTGCAACTCTATGTGGAAAAGGAAGTCAGTTGATTAACAACAAAATTTATAGCCCTCAGTGACCTATACAAGACACTGTTGTAAGGTCCCAGAATGGTTGTTTCTCCTGAGCAAAAGTTATCCTTTGTCACTTATTCAAGTAAATTTCTTAACTACTTGTCATGTTCTAGACCCTGTGTTAAAAACTGGGATCCTGAATTGTACCCCACAACTTTAAAATATAAATTTTTTAAAAATTGGGGATATAGTTGTAAATAGGATACGCAGAGCCCTCTCCCTTTTGCAGTTTTCATTCTAATTTCTTGTTATTTGGGGTTTATCAGAAAGATCAGGGACAAATGGCTGCTGCCTACCTCAAGTAATTGGCTACAGCATGATTTTTTTTAACCCTCAAATCTTACCCATGGCTCTATCTCATTTTCTTAACCTACTTTTTCCTTCTATTTTGTCATCTTATTTTTATTTATTGTATAGGCTATATCTCTATAAACTCCCAACCCCCTACTTTTTTTTTTTTTGAGTTGGAGTCTCACTCTGTCGCCCAGACTGGAGTGCAGTGGCCGCTCCCGGCCACCACAGCCACGACCTGCTGGGCTCCGGCGATCCTTCCGTCTCAGCCTTCCGAGTAGCCGGAATTACAGACGTGCGCTACCATGCCCAGCTGATTTTTTTGATTTATTGTAGAGATGAGGTCTCGCTGCCCAGGCAGGTCTCGAACCCACGGGCTCAGGCAATCCACTCACCTCAGCCTCCCAAAGACTCCACCGAGGCTGGCTTAACCCCCTACTTTTTATTGAGTCGGGGTCTTGCTGTGTCACTTTGGCTGCAGTGTAGGTGGCACAATCACAACTTACCACAACCTCAGTCTCCTGGGCTCAGACGATCCTTCCACTTCAGCCTAATTTTTTGATTTTTTTTTGTACAGACTATGCCTTACTATGGTTGTCCTGACTAGTCTCTAACTCCTGGGCTCAAGGAATCCTCCTGCCTTGGCTTCCCAACTGCTGGGCTTACAGGCATGAGTCACTGCACCTGCCCCCCAAGCCCTTTTAAGGACACTTCAGTGGGATGGACAAATAAATAAAGGACATGTACTTAGATGTTTTAGATGGTGGCTTAAAATATTTTAAATAAAATTATAAACGGGAACAAAATACATAAAACAGAGACAATCTGACTAAAGAGGGTAAAGGGCGTGGAGTATTTCACATAGCTTCCCTTAATCACTCCTCCCAGTGGCTCCTTAGTACTCTAAGAAGCAGAGTTGATTGTCAAGACCAGATATGGGAGAAGGTTAGTGTTATCCTGGAGGAAGAAATGATCAAAGAGGCTTCATAAAGCCAATTGTGAACTGGTGGATGGGTTGGCGTGAGGAAGAGAGGGGGAGGTGTATGATTGAGGATGGGATGCAGGAGCCTTTGAAAAGTATTCTGGGAAACTTCTGATGGGAGCACACCAACTCTCTCAGTGGAGATAGTTCCTGCCCAAAACTAAGTGTGTGGCTTATCATCCAATGTCCTACTGTTTCTAAAAGCGGAATTTCTGGAAGCATTGTCTCTAATGGGGCAGGGGTGTATGTGTCTGGAATTTCTTGGAGTGAAACAATTTTCTTCTTCTCCATTTTAGCCCTTCTGTTCCCTACACCTGCACTTGCAGCTTTCCGAAAATCCATATTCTTCAGGAAGAATCTCTAGCAAGGAGACAGCCCCAGGACTTGTGGTGGCTACAGGTAAGGGAAATATTCACTGGACTTCTTACTCACTGAGAGTTTCTAGAATAAATTTGTAACCTATTTTTGAACCATAGATTCATTTGAGTATCAGATGAAAACCATGGGCACTTTCCCCAGAAAATATACAGGATTTCCCAATGCCCATCCAAGAATTTAAAATGCAAAGAGCCCCAGACATTTGTAACTTCTAGGTTAATGCATCATGCTCCCTAGTCATAGAGCAATCCCCTGTGCTAAGCAAGAAGCCAGAATTTCTCTCAAAGTAAACTGACTGATCAGAAAGATTGTTTATAATAGGGAATTCGCACTTTAAGAAAACATGATATATGAACTTGCCAGCTCACCAAATATAAGTTGGAATCGTTCGTTCTCTCTTTCCACAGAGGATTCTTTTTAAAGGGTTTTACCCCAAAGCTCTTTTTAATCAGGCGGTCTCTGGTGCATATAAAGGTTTGTTTATACATGATTAACCACTAGGCTGAGAGCCTGGGGTAAGGGGCAGAAAAACTTAAGGTTGAATTGTTGGAACTACTGTCCACTGAGCATCAATCAGAAGTGAAGACAAAGCAACTCTGAGATGAAAGTGAAAGTCTCCAGGGAAATGTGCTCTGATTAGCATGCACTGGATTTACATACACCTTTTCAGGAATACATTGATGGCATAAAGCAAAGCAGGCTTCTAATCTTAGAAATTAGAGCTCTGGTGTTAGATTTTTTTTTCTAATAACAGCAGATAAATGCACAGTGATTTTCTGAGCTGCTACATTATATTTTCTCTCGTCAACTGAAAGGCCCCTGGAGTTCCTGCTCTCCTAGACATGGCTTCCTTCTCCAAGTCTCCAACTCTATGAGCTTTTAAATACTACTAGTAACCACTCAAATTAGATTGACAGCTGGCATAGCCTTCTGGCATTTCAGTCAGCTCCTCTCAATTCCATATGGATGGGAGCCACCATACTTAACACACTGGCGTCAGGGAGCCCAGATCAGAGAAAGATAAAGGCAGGTTCTGTTGCTGTTCCCTTAGCTTGGGGAGTGACCTCCCACAGTAAGTAATCTATGTGAATTGGCCCTTCCAATTTAGGACTGCTACACCCTATGCTCCCCCTGAAAGACCTTCAGGAGGCTCAGGGCTGTGGATGACAGACGATCCTCATTCTTCTCCATCTCACTCCCTCCTCCCCTCTCCTATCTCACTACTCAGTGGGCAAGGGCCCAGAAGCATACTAAAAAATAAGGATCAATAAGAAAAATTACCATCATTTGAATGCTTATTATATAGCCAGGCATTGTTCTATGTAGCTTAACCACTCTTAACTTCAATGTTTTCATTGGCAAAGTGCGAATAATAGCACTAACATAACAGAGTTGGGAGACTGAATGAACCAATGAATTTAAAATTCTGCAAAAGACTGCCTAGGGCATATTGAATACTCAGTATATGTTACTTATCACCATCATTAATATTATGGAAGTTAAAACTATTCTTCTTACATCAGAAGAATATTGTTTGCTCATCTCCATTGATAGAATTCACAAATCCTGTGCATACACTACATACAATGAAACTCAGGAGCCCTGTCCTCTTACTTTCAAGATTGAACTCTGACACTTACTAGCCTTGTGCCTTTGGCTTAGTTTTTAACCTCTGAGCTTCATTTTTCTCATTTGTAAAACTGGGATGTTTTCTGCCTTGTGGTACTGTAAAAATTAAAGATGGAAGGGTGCGTCTACAAGAAGCAGCAGAGTATTCAGAGCATAGAAGGTGGAATTAGTCTAGGGCAAGCATATACTTCTAAATTAATCTTTTATAAATTAGAAAACATTCAGGCATTAAAGATCTGCTTTTGAATTTTCTTGTCCATATATATCAGAGTTGACTAATTCCTTTTCCCTTACCCTATGTTCTTGAGGCTTTTTGCCATGCCCTGGCACATTGGCAGGAATATAACTCAGCTGATGAAATTCTGTTGAAAAGTCAGAGCTAAATCCCTGGCTTGTGCCTCCTTATACCCGGCATCTTCTTACCCTGCTTGTCTGGTCTCCCTAGAAGGTTATCTGCTATCAGAAAATAGCTAAGAAGTCGGCCAGGTTAGCCTGTAGTGGCCTGCATGGAGCCTGTGGTCTGCAGGGCCCTTAACCACTCCCAAGCCTTCCACTTGCTTTCAGGTGTCAGTGATTCTGGACTCTCTTCTCTCCACTTCTGTTCACTCCCTCTTCTCGCCTTGCATTGAGATGTGGTCTCAGGGAAGCTGCATGGACAAAAATATGTCCTGGGATTCACCTCTAACTCCTGTTGAGGACATCTCAGAAGGCAGATGGAATTCCAGTCTGAAGAGGTTAGCAATTATTTTTAGCAGGAAGAAACACTAGGGTTCTTAATATCTTTAACACTGTGGTTTCAAGTTAGTAGCAGGAACCAAGCACTTTTCTTGCCTTGACTGCACAACAAAATGATGATGCAGAAACAGCAATTACTAGTTACCTTAATTTACAAATGAAAAGACCAAGGGTGAGTGGGAACAGGTGTCATGTCCAAACCCACACTCCCCTCTGATTCCTCAGGGAGTGCTCTATCCTATGACCATTCAGCCAGACCTATTCCTGAGCCCTTCCCAGGCCAGCTCCACAGATAACTCAGATTCCCTGCCATGCTTCCGGTAAACTGAATGTCATACCCTCCTGTTGTCCTCTTCTAAAGAGGCCGTCCTGCAGCCCCTGAGTTGATGGTACACTGTCTACTTTCTCCTTCACTGACCCTTTGACCACCCTGCATGGGCTACTCCTTACTTTGTCATCAGTGATGGTGAGAGAAGCATCTCTAACCTCCAAAGAACTTCAGAATTCTGTCTCTCTTTCTTATATTGTTTTTCAAAAGTGTTTAAGGAGCAGAGAAGCACTGGAAGGAAATGAGAATAAAAGCAAGTAATTTAAAGCTTCCAAAAAGAACAGTGGCACCTCCATCATTTGCCAGCTAAGCAGTGGGTGAAAGGAGCTCCCCATTCTTCTCCATCTCACTCCCCCTTCCTCTTTCCTATCACACCACTCTGTGGGCAACAGCTGTATCTCCTTTTTACAACCTGGTTGGCGGCCATTTTGACTGAACCTCCTCAACTGCACTTAAGCCAGCGAAGCAGGTTATTCAAATCCTCCTTCTCTGACACCCAAGCTTTTCCCATCAGAAATTGCCCACAAGGCCACTTAGGGACTAAACATGTTCAAAAACCACTTCATCCTGGATAAATCTTTCTCTTCTTTCTTCTGTGAATCAACTTTCTGTCCATGTGATCAGTAGCTTTTCTTTCAGGGCTTCTTTCAGTTGACAGAAGATACTTCCCAAAACAGACTTCACTGTGAGCCATGGGTTTCTACCATCACAAAGCCTCCAAAACCAGCCTAGTCACGCTTTGAAAGAGAAGTTGAAGATGTTGTCAGAACTAGCTTCTAAGGAGGGTAAGAGGTGATAAGCTAGATTCTTAGAAGCCATGCCAGGAGTGACAGATGCACAGCTCTTTGCTCCTGCCCTGCTTATTCTCTGCCACCCTTTGTAGACATTAATCAATCACTTTCTATTTTTTGAAACAAAATTTGGCTTTTGAATCCTTAACACAATGTTCCAGGTAAGCACAACTACAAAGTGACTCAAGTTGATATTCTGTTTGCCATTTCACTTTACTTTCTTTTTGCGGTGTCTTTTCAAACCTGTATCTAAAGAATTGAATTCCAAATTCCAGACATATCTTCATAGATCTGCCCACACTACTTCTCCCCATTCCTTTCAGAACCTCCTGCTGGAGCCCTGAGCCCTGAGCCCAGAGGTTATTTGTGGAAACCTGAGTGTCAAAACAAGTTGGCTAGCTTTTTGCTCCCTGATGATGCTGATGGGAGCTTGACAAGCTGTAGCCAGGCTTTACTTTCTCATTTTGAAGCATTAAATGTCAGGAGCTCAATTAACATTTTCATTATTGCATTTTTATGGTGCTCTTATTTAGGCTACAGATAAGTGGGAGCTAACAATCTCTTCCTGCTATTTTTAAAGAAAAAATTATCAGTCAATATAATAAACTCTTAGATGTTTAGGATACTTCTCTGGTTTTCAGTATCTCCCCAAGTTTACATCAACATTGGAACATGATTCAATCATTTGTTTGTTCACTCATTCTTTCCACAGTTATCTGCCATGTCTGGCATGGCTTCTAAAGATTTAGCTTATTACCTCTCCCTCTCCTTAGAAGCTGGTTCTGCCAACATCTTCACCTTCTCTTTCAAAACTTGACTAGATTGGTTTGGGAAGCTTTGTGATGATAGAAACCCAGGGCTCACGGTGAAGCCTGTTTTTGGAAATATCTTTTGTTAACTGAAAGGAACCCTGAAAGAAATGCTGCTGATCACAGGGACAGAAAGTTGATCCTCTTTCCTATATTTATTGTGCACTGAATATTAGGTTTGTGGTATTGTTCTAGGCTCTAAGAGTAATGAGGCTTTCCATTGGGGAAAATAGAGTAATATACATGGATTAGAAAATCTTGACCATTTTCTTTTTAATAAGCATAACCACAAGGTGATGGAGTGCAAGGGGAAGAAAAAGAGTAGAAAGCCCAGGAAAGTGTGATGGGATGGGAGCAGGAAGTGTGGTTAGTCAAAGCATAAACCAGGCAGCTTCTTTTCCTGATATGCCTATTGGCCATGGTGTGCTCAGTGTAGTCATCTTATTCTGGGCACTTTATAATTTAGATTCCTTAGTACCCTTGGGTTATACTCAACTGCCTGCACTCAAGGAACATGGTGACACATTTAAGTTGGAAACACACACGCCGACATACATTCATGCACGTACACATATACTTTCTCTCACATACATCAGTTTTCTCAATTATACTTGAGGAGTGAGGGGCTCCTATGCCCAGCTTCTCCACATGTGTCTACTCTTCCACTTTTTGCTCCCTTCATGTTGCATTGATTATCAGGATCAATGCAAGAGATTATTGGTATACAAAGTGAATAATTCAAGAGACCTGAGCTAATCGATATTTAGTCTTTGACTCACACCATTTAAAGATGCATTCTTACCATACTATTTAATTTTTTCCCCATATTGGGTTTTTCTTCCTGCTGAGCTTTTGATATGATATCAAGAAAGAAACTGCAGAAATCAACTGTAAACATCACTTTGAAAACCTTTTTCTGATATCCCTTCCCCCAACCAAAGCACACTTAATCTGTAAACTGCCTGAGCTTTTCAAATGATCTGTTTGTGTTTCAGGCAACATTGGCCCGGAGCTCTCATATACTGATATTGGTGTGTTCATCTCCTCCGATGGGGGCAACACATGGAGACAGGTAACTGGGAGGATTCAGAAACAGGGAGGAGGCATTTAGAGTAAGTTCTACCAATACCTCCCCTTCCTATAAATTCTCAGGCTTATTATGACTATGTGGTTTTAAAACATCTGAGGCACCTATTCAGTTTGGTCAGTTTAGCTGGCAGATTACAGGGGCAGTAGGTAAGATGAGAACACTGGGCAGGCAATAGGAAGAACTGGAATTTTCCCAGTCTATTTATTCTTTCCTTCAGCAATATGTATGCAACTGTCACCAGATGCTAAGTACTGTGCTGATTGCTGGGGGTACAACCAATAAAACTGTTTTTTATCATTGATGTGTCAAGGGCTCTTGGCAAGCAGGTCTCTTTACCTTTCTGGATATGTTTCTATATTTACAAAATGAAAAGATTAGGACATTAAAACTGACAAAGCTATGGAAGTCAGTGGTTGTTTAAGTATTATGTAGACTCAGTCTTAAGTATGAAGCTGTTTGATAGATAAATGACTATACGAAAAATTAATTCAATTTAAAAAACACTTATAGCAGTGCTACCCAATAGAACTTTTAGCAACGATGGAAATGTTCTGTGTCTGTGCTGTCCCATGCAGTTATAAAGCACTTGAAATATGGCTGCTGTGAAAGAGGAACTGAATTTTAAATTTTATTTATTTTAATTAATTTAAATGCTCTCATGTGGCTACTATGTTGGACAACACAAATTTATACAATATCAACTAGGCATCAGGCAAAAACCTCAGGAGGCAGTTGCATACTTTGGAGTCCCTTTCCTTAAGGTTCATAAATAAATAACCATAGTTCAGGGTGATTGTATTATTATTAATATTAATATTATTATTATTATTATTAGTTGGAATCTTAGTTGCCCAGGCTGGAGTGCAGTGGCACACTTATGGCCACCGCAACCTCAACCTGCTAGGCTCAGGTGATCCTTCTGCCTCAGCCTTCCAAGTAGCTGGAACTACAGGCACGTGCCACCACACCTGGCTGACTTTTTGATTTATTGTAGAGATGAGGTTGCCCAGACTGGTCTCAAACCTGTGGGCTCAGGCAATCCTCTCACCTCAGCTTCCCAAAGTTCTGGGACTACAGGCATGAGCCACTGCACCTGGCCAATAGTATTATTTTAGTGACATTATTAGTATGCAAAGAAAAGGGAGGAAATGATTTTATTATAGAAACTGGAAAAGATTTCACAAAAAAGAAGTGATGTTTTACTCACTCTTAAAGGTGATATATTTTCTACCTGGAGAAGACAAGGAAAGAGCACTGAATTCCTTGATGGTAAAGATGAAGTCACTATCTGAAATCTAGCTAGACAAGTTCCTCTTTGGTTCCCTTAGTAAAAAATGTCATCACTGTCATCATCATTCCCATTGCTTCACTATCGCCACTACCACCCTTTAAAAAATTACCAAGTCCTATAGACACATGCAACTATTTTAGATACTACAAGTCATATAGTAAAGAAAAATAAATCAAAATTCCTACCCACAAAGCCATAATCAGATGGATGGGAAACAAACACATAAATAAGATCACACCTTCAAAACATAAGATAAGCTATTGCAAGTACCAAAGGTGGGTGGAAGATGGAATGCAAACTCATCTGGTACAAAAACTCCTGATAAACAAACCCTTTCTTGAGATCCTTCCATGTCAAGAAATAGCCACCTGGCCAGGTAGCCACTGCAACATTCCTTTCCTGTCTTGTCATTACTTGGATTTTCTTTCCCTTTTTCCTGAACACCTAAAGATTTCATTTTCCACTCCAGTGCTGGACAGAGCAAAAGTTAGCAGTGGCCAGAATGGTAGTATTATGAAGAAAGTATGAGGATAAGTTCTTCCGGCTCCCCAGTGCCAAGTGTCTTTCTCTGTTCCTCATTTTTAGGTTTCAACCCAGTGTCTCCATTATGTGGCTTATCACAGAGCCATCCTTTAAGCTCTGGAGAGAAAAACCTAGCACTGTAGGCTCAGAGTCTATGTTTATATCTGAAATATAAGTTAATCACTCTTAGGTCTTTTGTGCATTAAGACTCGCCATTGGTAGGAACATTTTTTCTTTTCTTTAAAGATAAATGTGGCGGGGGGGATGAGGAACAAGATGTTTAGGACTGAGAAAGTCTTTACATTTTTGCTATAGTGTTCCCTGGAGCATTATGTACAGGAGGCCTCCTTCCTCCTACTCATTCCCTCTTTAATTCTGTCCCTTTAATTCTTTACCCCTTTCTAGCCCTCCTCACTCAAACCACCATCCCAACCTCTCCATCTAGGTTGCAGAAGCCACAATCAGTGATTACATGTTGGAAAAATTCTCCAAGCATACTTTAATCTACAAGATCTAAAGTTGAAGTTTAGTGATCTGCTGGAGAAATGTCTCTCTTATTTGAGATTGGAGATATGAAAGCCATATCTCTATAAGCATTGAGATATATATATATATATGTGTGTGTATGTGGGGAGGGATTAGTTCTGAAGTTCTCTTGTTCTCTTGAATCAGAGCCTTGTATCATAGTTGGTACTTAGAAAATGCCTTTTGGTAGATGAGTGGATCACTGAATAAGCAAATGAGTGAGTGGATGAATGAATGGATAATGGGCAAATAGACGAATCAAGAATGAATAAGGTTAGGTCCCTGGAAGTACTGTATTTAAATGTACATTTACAGTAGGGGTCCCTAGGCACCAAACTTAGGTCTTCATCCAATTTTCAGGGTGCTTCTGGCTAAGTCTAAGTACTCACTTATCACGTACACCATAGTGTCTAGGGAAATTATCTTTTATGTTTCTAGATAATTTATTGACAAGACAGTAATAAATGGACCATTTATAAATTATCAAACATCTGATGAGGAGGAAAAGAGGGCTGAGTAGTAACTAACTGAGACAAAAAGGGAAATTTCTTTGAAGTCATATTTTTCTTTGGGTTACTTAGTTGAGCATGTACCTTCTTGCCTCACTTTCATGTAGCATGCTGGTTCACAGTACTAATAGAAAGAACCCTGGAAATACAATCTAAGTAGCCTCGGGAGCATTATATGCTCTCTGTGAGACTATTTCCTCATCTATCAAATGAAGATAATACTTGCCAAACTATCCAATAGGATTGGAAGACTCAGAATCTAGATGAAACAATGTACATGAAAGACTGTAAACTGTTAAGAACTGTGCAAATGTAAGGTGTTGCTATGATTATTGTTGTTGTTGTTTCAGATCTTTGATGAAGAGTACAATGTCTGGTTCCTAGACTGGGGTGGCGCCCTTGTGGCCATGAAACACACACCTCTGCCAGTCAGGCATTTGTGGTAAGGACAGCTCCCTACCCTATTAATGAGAGCTTTTTAGTGGGGAAGGTTGTGACAAGTTATTCTGCATGGTCTTGTACAAATTTACCTATTTTTTCATCCATTTATTTATGTGTCCATCCATTTAATGTATTTTATACCATCTAACTCATATGTAGCAATAGCAGGCCAAATAATTCAGATGGAGAAGTGAAATGAATGGGATGGGTGGCAGAAATCGGTAGTCAGATAAGGCAGCAAAGAGCAGAAAGGACCTGCAAGTTCAAGTAATCAAGGCTACTTGAAAATAGGAGAAAACGAAATTGCTTTAAGAGCAGTGCTAGGTGCACATAACAGACATTGAGATCAGCTCTAGATAACTTGAGTTTGTGATTTCTGTGAATATTTCAACAGAAGTGACCACTAGTTGTCAGATATATTCATCTGAGGATTGGGATAAGGTCAGAGCAGACACATTAGATTTGGAGTCATTAGCCACTGGGTGGTAATTAAAGCCACGATAGTGGGCTTAATGCTTCAGTAGAGTGGGCACAACAAGGAGAAACTAGGGACTCCTATGGAACCCTGCTGAAAACCAGTTTGTAGAGTAGAAGAAAAAATCATGGGACAAACTACAGAGAATGGCCAAAAAAAGAAACTCAGGGGGAATGTTTTCATGGATGCTAAATGAAGGGATGACTAATCCATTAAATTCTACAATCAGATCAAGTCACTTATGGAATAAAAAAAAATCTAGGGTTAAACAATATAGGAAGTCAGTGATGATCTTTGTCAGAGTACATTTAAAACAGAGGTGGAGTTGGATGTCAGACTGTAATAGATTTATAAATGAGTGACCAGATGAATGATAAGCAATGAAGTGAAGTAAAGGCAATATAGATTACTCTTCTCAAAAAAGTATATTATGGAATGGAGTGAGAATGTCTATGTAAAACCTTCAATAAGGACAAAGAGGTGAGTGAGAATAGATGATGATGATAAGGATGATGATGATGATGATGACGACGACAATAATGGCCACCATTTGTTACTGTTGTTTTGTGATTTTGGAAAATCACAAAAAAATGGATGAATTTTATGTGTGTTTATATCCTAGAATAAAATAATTTTAGGCTTCAGATTTATCAAAGTGAACATTTGAAAGAGTGGATATTTGGAGGTAGAGGGTTATGCTATCTAATGTATAGTTGATGGGATTTGCCATGGGCGGGAGAATGGATTCTGGCTTAACTACCAGGTCTTTGCTCTTGGTCTATCAGTACTTTTAGATTAAAAGTTTTACTGGGAAGCGTCAGATTGTAATTAGGAAAAGATATATGATTCCCTGATGCCAAATAGAAGCTTCAGCCACCTTGGCAAGGACTTAAGAAGGTTTCTCTCAATTTGACCATTTTAGGTGAAACAATATGAAATAACCATTTTTGGGTTTAAAATGGTCAAATTATTATCAGTTTCCTAGAGTGCAACCTAGCATAAAGTGAAGTAGTTATTCAACCACTATATTATCTTACAGAGAGATTTTGCAAATAAATTTTAAAAAGATGCATGGAGTCATTTGTAAGAAAAGTGCTCTACCAACCCATGGGTGGGTTTGTAAAAGTTCCCAATGTAATTGCTTATCCTTTTACTATTTATTATATAGTTTTTTGGTGGCACAGAAGACTGGACTTGCTTGGTATTATTGACAGTCACGATTTATTGAGAGATTATTATACTCCAGGTACTTTTCTGAATCATTTACATGAATTATCTAGTTTAATTTTTGAACTGGTCCTATGTATATGGGTACTTTTATCACCCATTTATAATGGCATCAAAGTGCAAACATATTAAATACCTTACTCAAAGGTAGACAGCAAGTACCTGACAGCACAAAGTTGTATTTTTGCATAGATATTCTCCTTTTCTAATTGCTAATTTTCTGGATACTTTAAGGAGTACACAATGGCTAATGACATGATCCCTGCCCTTTGGGGAATCATAGTCAAAATAAGGGGCTTTGGCAATCCATGCATCGCTAGACATTAAAGCCATGTCTGCTGTCTATATGTATTGCTGGGATGCTGAACCAGGATAGAAGTCATTTGGCAGTAGGTGGTGTGAGGGTTGATGTTTGAAGGATGAATTATCTCCCATGAATTATCTTCCCATGAATTATCTCTCACCTCTCCTTCATGGGAAGAGATCACTTTGACTGAAGCTCTTGGAATTTAAAAAATGTAGGGAGTGTTCAGGAGACAATATTTGTTGTTGTTATTGTTTCTTTTAGAAGAGGAGTATATATTTGGCATAGAAAGATGGTAACATTTGACAAAAACCATTCAGTCTGATCTCCAATGGTTTCTCCTCAGATAACTGCTCATTTTCAGAAGGAGTACTTGTCTGGGAATGCCTGGAGGGAAACCATTCAAGTTGAAAATATTCAATATTCACTTAGGGATCTGTATGTGGTATTAAATCATGTCTCTCAAAGTCATCAATACAAAGTTTGAGTTTTCCCTTATTCCATGTAATATTTTGTTTCTTGATGAAAAATGTTTGTAGCACTTAGAAAAAAATAACTGCATTTTCATTGCATTTGCTTCTATAATAATAATGATAATACAATCCTCCATTTGTTTGCCTACTCCAAATTTGAAAGTATTAAAGATGATTTTTAAAGCTAAGCTTTTGAGATAGCATTATCTGCATTTAAAGCATGTTGACATTGTCATTTGTCTATATGTTTCCTTGAACTTGGACAGGGTCCATGGTTTCTTCTGACTTCCCCATCTACGAATACCATTCTCTGAAACAATCCCTGCAAATGGTTAAATGCCAGCTATTGAGTACATATGATAGAAAATAACAGTGACAATAGCAAAGTCATTCAGGAATACTCCTTTACACTTCTCTTTCAAAGGCTAAGTGAGTGCAAGGGCTTGACTGTGTCATTGCCATCTATGTTTTCATGTGAAATTGTTGACTGATTGTATCTCCCTCTCATGAGGTGCAAGCTTCTAAAACTTAAACACAGCTTTTTCTTCACCAGTAGCTACTAATTAAATCCCAAATTTCAAAGTAAACAAATAGCTCATTTCAAGAGTAAGAAAGGTTAAGTAATTTGTTCATTGTTACTTTCTGTTGTATATCTTAGACTGACATTATTTTCTATACACTTGTATGTATGTTTGCATAGGAAAAAGACACCAGCTTACTCATTCTCAACGAGGATATGGTGGCCCTCAGATTTGAATAATAGCTACATTGCTTTTCAGAGAAAATAGGAGTCCTAATTGAAAAGCTGAAAAAACTTCCACTAAGCTAACAAGCCATGCTGTTTCCTACAAATTGAAATGATAAGTAGCTAGATAGGCATGAGACTGAACAGCATACAAATGAACCCATCTGTTTGTGACCATGTATATTTGGATGCATAAAGATTAGAACCTGAGTACTATTACAGAGGAGGCTTCTATAGTGTTACCTTTGTACCTGAGAAGCTTTGGAGTGAAATTAATAATGGACTCCCACTGAATACAGAGCTCTACCAAAAACTTACCATAGACAAGGCACGTAATGGGCAGGTAGACAAGGGTGTGACTATTTGCTTAGCCTTGACAAGTTGTCGGTATCTCTCAATGGAATGTTCTTGGGGGAAAAAAAGGGAAGCATTACTTGACCTTTGTGTTTCTTCGTTCTTCTGTAGGTGTTTGTGGACACTAGCAAATTTGTTCAGAGAAACATGCAAATGAAAACAAAAGTTCCAGTTAATACATGCCTCCAAGAAATAAAAGTGCATGTGCTTTTTGAAAGAACTTCTAGGTGGCTAAAATGAACTTGGGATAAAATAAAATGGAGCAATATACCTCACCAGAGGAAGAAACATTGGTTTTCAGTGAACATTATAACTCCCTATTTTTGTGCTGAAGACTTCTGGAGAAGAATCTGCTTATTCTTGGAAGAGTCTTTTGCATTTAATTGATCTCATCTCAATATCATATTCATAGACACAGGGACTAAGGAAGAGTCCTAGAGGTCATGTAATCTAGTGTCTTACCTGGTATAGTAGACACTTTCGTGGCATTCCAAAGGTCACCTCACTTTACCAGAATACCACAGTGCTAACTAACTTGCAAATACCCAAGACAGGGCTTCTTGTATAAAGAAAAACCATCATCTTTTTGTAAAACCATTTTGTATAATGGTTTAGTTGTTAGAAAGATTATTTTTTGTGCTGAGCAATAATGAATCTATATATCAATTCTGTCCATTGACCCCTATTCTGCTGCCCAGATCGATGCAGAATAAGGCTGCTTCAGAGTTGTATGTGATTTTTAGAATAGTACAACTGGAAAGGACCTCAAGATACTTCTTTTTCTAGCCTTTCTAAGTTCTGGGAAATGATCAAATATGAAAGTCAAGACATATTATATCCATTTGTTCATTTGTTCCACACATATTCATTGAGCATATATTATTTATCCTGCATTAGTAAAGAGCTAGAATACACTGTTGAATGTGACAATGTACTCAAGAGCTCATGTTCATATACATGTTCATGTACATATTTGACTATTCTCTTTAGAAGTCACAAGAATGAAAATCTTTTCTCCCTTATTCTATCTGTATTTTAAAAATTAATTTTTTCATTTATCAAACTACATTCCCTCTAACTTTGCTCATTAGCACTAATCTTTTTAAGTAGTCAACAATTTTTTGATATTTGGAAACTTTCTCATTTAAAAAATTAAAATACATTAGTAATTAATTCAGTTCTTCTCTTCTCCAAGCTGTCTACAATTCATATAACCTATTTCTAGGACACTTTGTTTTTTACCTTTAATCATATCGATTGTCAGTTTTTCTACAGTGATCAAAACTGAGCATAGTGTTTAGGATCTGGTAGAAGGATAACTTCTTTTCTTATGCTTATAATGTATCTGTAAACACATACTAAACTCACAGTGGCTTGAATATCTCTTATGAAAGTGTCATTGCTGGAAAACATTTAACTTGTAATTTACAATGACACCTGTTCTTTTTCAGCTTCAATTTGTTTTCTTTTTTTTTTTTTGAGTTGGAGTCTCGCTCTGTCGCCCAGACTGGAGTGCAGTGG